AGGGAAATTTTTCTCATAAGTGTTAATTCAAGATCTAAAACCCAAAGTAAATGCTGACAAGAAATTTCCCCCCTCAAGCAACACTGCAATAATACAAAAAACCTACTTGTTTTCTAAAACCTAACGTGGTTGTCAATCACACTAGCATTGGTAGTTGCAACAAGTTATGAGTGGATATTGGTAGGTAAAATACTTTGATATTTTGGAAACAAATACTAGTTGGATGTAAAAGGTGCAAATAAAGTATGTTTTGGCGGTTTTTTCTGGTGTTGAAATTAGAGCGGAGTTCGTTGATTCACTATTATCATCTCTTATGAAACGGTGACGTATAATAATATGCATAAGTATGTGAATTGAGCAACCCCAGTAACCATGATTCATAAACATATGTTGAGACCAGTTTATACATGTGGTGGATCCATATATCGAATAGATGAGCATAGGTTAAATCTAATGACTTATACTTCACTCAAAGTGATCGAAATCCTCTATGCACATGAGCATTAAGCTGTAAATAGAGCATTGTATAGAACATGGTTACATATAGTTGATGACACAACAAACCAAATCAAGTTGCATAATGTTTTTTACTCTTAGTGAGGCTTACAAAAATATAAATTATTCAATATAAATAGGAAAAATACACGATTGAATATAAATTGATTTGTCAAAATCAACGACCTAGCGTTACTAAAAACAAATCATATGAACCGGGTCCATGGAGGTGGTCCCATTTTACCCACCATGACGAGGGCGGTGTGGTTGCCAGCGCTGAGTTCAGAGTGGTTGGATGACGATGTATTACTATAGTGGAGATGGGTGCGACCGGCGACAATGTGACCAGAGCGTGGCCGGTGACGGCGATCGATGAGGATTGAAAAGAAATTCTGCTCCCAAAGTTTGCATGTCAGGGCATCTCCAACGGCAACCCGCAAATTTTCTCCTGCATCCGCCCGTGGACAGGGGACCAGTCCACGGACACAGATGCGGGAGGCTGCCATCCAATGTTAGTTGCGTACATTTTAAACTCTTCTTCAGTAAACTAGATAAAATTCATGCAAACTTGGCGGGATTTCATATAAACATGACGGATTTCATACAAACCAGACGAAAACGGTCACATTTTGAACATATTTTCAACCAAAAACGAAATCAGACTAGTCAACGGCCGGCGCGGCGGGTCTCCAACGTCGCCCCATGACCAACAGCGGCGAGCCCTGACGGTATATGTTGCGCAAAGGACGACTCCCTTCCCCACCGCTCATAGGAGTGGAACCGCCGCCTGATGCTTCAGCTAGAGGGGAAGGGTCACGACGCTGCATGGACCAAAGTTGGTTCTTGGATAAGGGGACGACGGTGGCCGGCGAGAGGGCAAGACACCGGTTGTGTATGCTGGCGGTGCCTCGGCGGTGGCCTTCCTGGAACCCAAGCGGCGGCGGCCTCCCGCGTTCTACTTCTCCTCAACGATGGAGGCGGGCGTAGACGTGCTAGCGACCACCTCATCACCATCCACGCAGCCAGCTTCTTTCTCTACATGCATGGTGCGGCTACGCACGCGTTGAGGCGGATGGCGCAGACGCATGCACTGGAAGCATAGTGTGACGCGGCATCGTCGATGGCAGCGGCGATGCCCGTGCTGTTGTCCTCCTTGTCGTGCCGGGATGGAGCAACTCGCCACTCCTCTGCGAGCTGGCTTCGAGCGGCGAGTTGGTGAACCACGCTCCAGCTTGGGGCAAAAACTTGCTCCGTCGGGCTAGGCGAGGGTGATGGAGCAGCGAGCTACCTTGCGCGTATCCGTCGGGCTCGGCGGGCCACCCAACCGGCTTTTATGCCGGAACTGCTCTTCCGGCTCGTCGGATGCCATCGAAAGATTGGAGAAAATGGTGGAAAGAGGAGATGGGGAGTGACGGAGTGATGCGATTCTTGCCCAGAGTCTGACATCGTTTAAATAGAGGGCATACGGGAGGAGCTTGCCCGGCGTTGCGTTTAATGCCGGCCCACTCGTGAACAGGTGTGTGACCGAATTAGGTTTCTCGGTTTCCACACGGGTTTAATGGAGGCGTTTGAGTGCAGCTAGGAGACGTGTTCAGCCGGGCGTGCAGCGGGCGACGTTCTCGGCCAGCGCGCCGCTTCAATGATGGAGGCAGAGAGAGGGCGCGTCCGTCCTGAGCCGCCTTCAATATGGAGAGGCACGCTCTACATCGGCATGAATGCGGGCAGCTGGGTGACGGGTGGGAGGAGCGCGCGGGCGGGGCGGGGTTTTAGGTGGGTCATGACGGTCAGAAGTGGGCGTGATAGCGGTCCGGACTCCTGCAAACCTCCCCGTGTTTATCTTCGGTTTTTCGGAGAAAACACGTCCGAACCGCGTCGCGGATCGAAGCAGGACTGCGTTGGTTGGCTTTCATAGTCCACACAACGCGGTTCGAACGGATGCGAAAGGTTTGAGAGTCGGTGTTAGAGATGCCCTTGGTCAGTGTATTTTTATTCCCGCTGTGTGCCATTTGTCCCAATATTTCATAAGGGGGCATTTTATTTGCCCCTCTCCGGCTTGGGGCAAAAACTTGCTCCGTCGGGCTAGGCGAGGGTGATGGAGCAGTGAGCTACCTTGCGCGTATCCGTCGGGCTCGGCGGGCCACCCAACCGGCATTTATGTCGAAACTGCTCTTCCGGCTCGTCGGATGCCATCGAAAGATTGGAGAAAATGGTGGAAAGAGGAGATGGGGAGTGGCGGAGTGATGCGATTCTTTCCCAGAGTCTGACATCGTTTAAATAGAGGGCATACGGGAGGAGCTTGCACGGCGTTGCGTTTAATGCCGGCCCACTCGTGAACAGGTGTGTGACCGAAGTAGGTTTCTCGGCTTCCACATGGGTTTAATGAAGGCGTTTGAGTGCAGCGAGGAGGCGTGTTCAGCCAGGCGTGCAGCGGACAACGTTCTCGGCCAGCGCGCCGCTTCTATGATGGAGGCAGAGAGAGGGCGCGTCCGTCCTGAGCCGCCTTCAATATGGAGAGGCACTCTCTACATCGGCATGAATGCAGGCAGCTGGGCGACGGGTGGGAGGAGCGCGCGGGCGGGGAGGGGTTTTAGGTGGGTCAGGACGGTCAGAAGTCGGCGTGATAGCGGTCCGGACTCCTGCAAACCTCCCCGCGTTTGTCTCCGGTTTGCCGGAGAAAACACGTCCGAACCGCGTCGCGGACCGGAGCAGGACTGCGTTGGTTGGCTTTCATAGTCCACACAAAGCGGTTCGAACGGATGCGGAAAGTTTGAGAGTCGGTGTTAGAGATGCCCTTGGTCAGTGTATTTTTATTCTCACTATGTGCCATTTGTCCCAATATTTCAGAAGGGGGCATTTTATTTGTCCACCCCGATAGTTTTGGGACTTAAATATGTTTCATGGATATAGACAACGAGTTGTTTTTTGGGATCAATCAGAGATGCCCCCCATGCAAAATAAAAAAAATAAAAAGAATTCAATGATTTTTTTAGAAAAGGAGGATGACTCTCGACCTCTGTATCTGGGCGATGCATACGACCATTTTATTAATTATTCTCACAAGACCTTACAAAGTCATACAATAGTAAGACTAAAGCCATTGTCTAAGCAACAAATGTCGCTACACCTATCCAGTTGATGAATGGGCGCAGATAGTCTGGGCCTAATACCAAACAGACATCGCAGCCAAGCCTAACATCTAAGACCTGAGACCCCAACCTAGCCACTTGCCGGGTATGAGACACACACTGGTCCGGCGTGCTCTCAGAGGCCGCCGCCGTCAACTGCCACCGCTTCATCTTCAGAACTGTACTGATGCATCAACCTTACTTGGTCTAGCTATCGTCAACGCCATCACGGCGCCCAACGACACCTCCTCCCTGCGCGCAAACAGCTGAGCACGCCGCAGTCGCCACTGATACACCTCAGCGCCATGCTGCCAAGTACCACCAGCCGACACAACTTGAAGTCCTTGGAAGATCTGTCGTGCGTAGCACCTGCCGACCAGGCATGACAAAGCGTAGCACCTGTCAGTTAGGCATGACTTGACATCTCCACCGAAGCTCCGTGCAAGACGAAGCCACTCCACCTCCTGCCTCTGACTTCCAGCGCTGCTCCACAAACTATGCTTTCAAGAGAGAAACGACACCGCAGTGCCGCCATCGTCTGATCTGGAACACCAGATCGTAGGGTTTCCCCCGGAGCAGCACGAGTGGGTCGACAGTAGTTACACGACGATGCCTTCATCAAGGTAACGACGTAGAACGCCGCCATCGCCTGCCGTTGGCTCGATTTTAATCGGCAACCATGTCTCCCCAACTCGCAGCCGGGACTAGATGATGGATCTCGAGATCCGATCACCAAGCTTCTGGCTGGCCACCGCCGACGAAGAAGATGACCACCATCAATGGCTACACCGGCTAGAACAGATCTGCCATGGGTGCCGCCAAGCAGTCCACCAGAGGCCCTCGACGCCGCCACCGATCTAAAGCCAGATAACATGCCACCGAAGACCGCATCGCGCCGCCGCCCGATCCAGGCCAGCCGCCGCCCGTGGCCCGAGGCAAGGCCGACCGCCGCCGTCGAAGCCAACGCCGTCGCTTCTAGATCGGCCGCACCTCCACGCATGTTGAGGCCCCGCCACCCCTGAGACGCGGGAGGGAGGAAGAGCCCCACCACCGCCGTTGGCCTCTGAGCGCAAGCCGGCGGCGTCCTCCGGCGGCGGCGGAAGGAGGGGAGGAAGATGGGCTAGGCTCGGCGGCCGCTAGGGTTGGGAGGGGCGACGCGGGGGGCCTGGAACGGATGGTTGGGAGCTGTCAACGAGTAAACGAGTAAAAGAATTCAGAGATGCCCCGGTGATGATTCTTTTGCGAATTTGCCGAAAGTAAACGAGATTTTATATTACTTATTGCTCTAGGAATTTCCTTTATTCAAGTGTGGTTTCATTGCGTCTTCACCCTTTCTTCAGCTTCAACCCTTGAGCTGCTGGCGGCAAGATAAGGCGCTAGTTAGCCGACGGCAGGCGTGGACACGACGATGCCGCTGGCGATGCCGACGTCAAAGAAGACGCGGACGCGCTCGGCATTGTACCCCGGGGCGACGGTGGTGCCACTGGGGATCACCTCGATCGCCACGTCGGGTCTGTCGGCGTTGATCTTCATGACGGCCTGCGTCGCCGGCCAGCCCACCACCTCCGGCCAATACTTCTTGCTCATGTCCCACGGCATCCTCCTTGATCTCCTCGGACTAGCAAGCTCGACCAGTCTGCAAAAACGTTAGATCATGGTCACACTCAAAGGACTGGGAAGAGATGGAAATCAAACTGCGCGAAAACAAGTGCGGGTTGATCGACGCCGACCGACCTAGGTAGTTGTATATGTACCACTGCAAGAGAGGTGCTTCACTTGTGTGGTTGTGGAGTCAGGTCGTGTGTGTATTTATATGCGCTGGGGTTGGCGATGCATCTCATATGCATGGTACGTATCTGTGGTCTTGGATGCCGGAACCTTGGTTTCGTCGTCGCTGACAGCAACAATACGCGTATGTATTGTTCAAAAACTATCTTGTACAAGGAGATTATACGCCATGCCTACGCACGTACGACATAAATTCTGCAGAACCTTAGGGCGGGCTCCGCGGAATGCTGACAGGCTCACAGCATGTCACTGCGCTCACACGCTCACAGCGTGCGCATGCGTTAGATTTTTTCGAAGACGATGCATGCAACCATTATTAATTATTCATAAATGACCTTGTAAACAAATACAACAGTAAATCTAAAGCCTTCGTCTAGGCAACATCTCACTACTTCTATCTAGTTGATAAAGGGATGCTGATAGTCTGCGCCTAATATCAAACAGATCTCGCAGCCAAGCCTAACATCTAAGACCTGACACCCCAACCGAGCCACTTGCCGGATATGGGGCACACACCGGTCCGGCGCACACACAGAGGCTGCCACCGCCATGCCACCAATCCATCTTCAGAGCTGTACTGACGCATCAACCTTGCCCGGTCTAGCTGTCGTCGACGCCACCACGACGCCAGACAACGCCACCATCCTACGCTCGTCCATCAACACACGCCCAACAGCGAGGCCCCGTTGCTCCATGCCGCTGAGACTCGCCGTTCTCGACGTATCAGATGCAACACCGCTCCTTCTTCGTCAACACGACCTGCAACCGCTGGTCCCATCTCCTCCACTTGCAGATCCTATGCACACCCAACCGAGCCTCAAGACCCCTGATGACACCTCCAGGAAGGTCACGACGCGAACTGCGCCGCTGCCGCCAAATTCGAAGAGGATTGAAGGTTTTCACCTGACAGGAGATCGGGGTGGGTAGATTGGGCCCTCAGCTGCGCCTTCATGAAGGAAAGCGACACCCATGGGCGACGCCGCTGCCGGGCCGGCCAGACCGGCCAAGGTTTCCCCCGGACCAAGGTACACCACCAGGACTCATCATCATCAGAGCCTACAACCGCAAACCACCGGGACGACGAGAGAGGCAGCAGGAGAAAGGGGAACCTCCAGATCTGACGCCACGACACCAACCCGCCGGAGGATCACCGGCCACCCGATCCAAACCCGCGCCCGGACAAGGAGGCCAACCCAGGGGCCGCCGCCCCGGATCCAGGACCCTCCACACAAATCAGGCAGAGCAGAGCCAGCCTACCGCCACGGCCGCAACTGGGTCACCGGCCGGTCGCCACGCCGCCGCGCTCCAGATGAAGGCCGTTGTGGTCCAAATCAGCGCCGCCACCATCGATCGGGGCCTCATCCTCGAAATCGGGGATCTAGTGCATCCCGAGCCCGGAGTGAGAGTGTGATGCCTTCGCCACCACATTCACACACGCGGGCTTAGCCTAGCGCCGACCACCGGCGGCGGCGGAGGGGAGAGCGGGAAGGAGGAGGGGGACCGGCGGCGAAGGGTTGGGTCCCCTCGGTCGCCCACGCGGTGGGCGGCGGAGGAAGGGAGGGCCGCGCGTGCTTTAGATGCCGACAAACTCACGTCATGCTTACAACATTCGTTACATTGATAGATTTCTTTCATGAAACGGGAACAAAGCTATTTGCCCCGCTTTATATACAAAGCATCACATCTGAACCGATACAAGGTGATGAGGCAATCCTCTTGCAAAGAAAATCAAAGAAAATTACATGAAAATAGGAGAGTCCACACCCTACCACAAAGCAACCTAGACTACTGACAAGGAAGAAGACTCGCCGCCAAGGGAAATCGTCGGATCTCGTTTCGCCGCT